CTATCAGCTGCTTGGTCCAGGGCCTCACACTGTCAAACAACAAGAAGATTTGTCCAAACTCAAAGAGCTGCATGGAAGGGCATTAGCCGAGCAAGAAAAGGTACTGTGTATGTTCTGTCCAATATCATTTTCTATTTGAACGGCGTCTTTTTTCCCCCGCCAAATTTTCTTGCAATCTATCATATTATTTGAAAATGGTCCTGTGATTCGTAAATTTGTTCGCACATACATGTTGCACGAAGTGTGCTTTCATCCATTATTGGTCGGTTAACATATAGTGATTGATAAAAGAGATAATTTGATAAAAATTGTTAAATTTTTTTTTGTAACCACAATTTTTCTTTCATATTTCTTTCATCCAATGATACAGGCAAATAACAAAATTTATATTGAAGCATTTGAGCACCAAGGACAATCGCCATCACAAATTTTAAACCAAATAATAATTTTATAATATAGCCAATAGAAAATTATGTTCATTTGGAATTATCAAAAAAATACATAAAAATAGGCAAATTAGCAAAGTCACTCAGTGTCAAATTTGAAAGAGGAAATTGTCATTGTTCTCACCAGGTATTTTGATTGTGTCCTCAAATATTTGATATGTAGACAAGTTTGAATTTACAAATTTGAGTCAGGAGAGTGAAAAACTTGAAAGTATAGTATAAAGCATGAGGATGAGCATGGTGAGAACACTACATTGTTCTGATAAATAAGGCAGGCTTTGTATTCTTTCACAATTACCCCGGTAGTGTTATAACTGCTGTTTTTGTTTGCTTTTCACCTTTAAAGCTGAAATCTAACAGGCCACCACAATTGACTCAGCCACAACCACAGCCAGTACCTGTGTCTGTGCCGGTCACTCTAACCCAGCCGCAGCCACAAACTTCCCAAATGCACCCCAGCGTACACAACTCCAGCCGCAGCTTCAGCCACAGATGCAGCAGATGCAGCAGATGCAGCCACAGATGACAGTAGTACAGCATTCTCAACCACACATAATGACAACACAGAGTACCGGTACTGTACAGATGGTGAATATCATCAAACCGCCAATGGTCACTACCCAAGCTACCCTCCCTGTTGTCTGTACCAGTGCTCCACAACAACTTAATACAGGCTTAGTGAATGCAACAGCTTCTCCAGTGACCATTCCCAGACCCATCACTGTACAAGGAGGAACAACAGTGCCTCAACCAGGGACACCTGGTCGCATCAGTCCAGAAGGCAATCAAGTAAGAAACTCACAAGTTACATACAATTATATCTACATTTATGTGATTTCAAATTACTGTATTTGTTCTATTAGTAGCGCATTACTTACATAAATTACACACATGTATGTATGATCATTTTGATGATAGTATACAACGAATGCAATTTTTTATTTTGTACTAGTACGTGCACTGCTATTGGAGTGTGTTTCTAGTGAAGAAAATGTGGTATTTACTGCTCTAATCTGGCCATCTGTCCTAGGAGTTTGGCTAATGGCTGGGTGTTGCCGACTAACATATCAGCTCAGAGAAAATCTTACAATGAATTGATCTTTTATTAAATCAGTCTCATAATCTATCTATGGCATGGTCACTATTTGATATCCTCATATGTATTTTATGTTTTGTAGATTTTAACAAAGAGACGATTACATGACTTGGTAAAAGAAGTTGATCCGAATGAACAACTTGACGAGGATGTAGAAGAGGTATATTTCACATTAATATGTCAATCTGTTACACTGGAAATATATATTGATTTTGTTACAGAAACTATATTCATGTTTGGGATTACATGGCGTGGCTGTTTGGCCATCTCTCGATCTAATGGCAATTTAATACGCTATCATGGTGTGTCAACCAAGCCTGGTTAATCACAAGCACTTGTGGAGCTTAACCAAGGTTCCCTCAAAGCTCCTTTAACCTTGATGCTTTTTGAGAGCCAATGTGTGGCTAAATTTACGAATTTCATTGACTTGGGGCATGGCTCTGTGCCGAGAGATGTCTTTGAAAAAGCAGTGTTGTTCACAAAAGTTTTAGGGAACAAAAAAAGTAATTTCAGGTGCTGACCCAACTTTCTATGCTAGTGATTATTCACACTGAGGTGGAGCATATCAGTCAAAATTAGTGAAAAAAATCTACAAACTGAAGTAATAGGACCTAAGCCTAGAAAACGATGCAATAGGCACAGCTGACACAAGATGATGACATTATCCTGTTTTGTATCTTTCAGCTATTACTGCAGATAGCCGATGATTTCATCGAGAATGTTGTGACGTCTGCATGTCAGTTGGCAAAACATCGCAAATCAAGTACAGTAGAAGTAAAAGATGTGCAGCTTCATTTGGGTAAATGTCTTTACGTTTTTCATACAGTCATTCCATAGATTAACTACAGTTAGAAAACATGTTTCCAGTGTTACATGCTTTTCAAAGGATTGGAAATTCTAGTGAAAAAAAAAAATAATTATTATGGCTAGTGATAAAGTGACCATGAGGCAAGCTTTAGTGTCACAAAGATGATCAAAAACAAAATTTGAAATGATGTCGATTTTGTGTTTACACACAGTGATTTCATTTTATAGTTATTGTGCGTGTTCTTACGTTCTTATATTCTACCTATATATCAAGCCATTGCTTGAAACATCTAGCTATGTTTAATAGTTACTTAGAACAACGATTACCAAATATGTACTATACGTCACATGCTGTCACCTTTCTATAGTTAATCAATGTATATTACTATACTTCAGTCATGGTACTGACCTCTAGTAACAATCTGATGTAATTTTGCGGTATTGTACAGGGTATCCATAACCTTAGGAAATGCAAAATCTAAATATAGAACACTTAAGCGGTGTTTCCAAGATGGTGGACTTTCCAAAAATTGTCACCATTTCATTCATGTTTCGAATTCCTACGCCAATTTATAATGATAAGGTTAATACGAGAGGTGACTTCAGACAGTACATGATTGGATTGACCTCTGCTATGTGTTGACCGATACTCCCGCTGTCCTGTTTTGATGCATATTGTGGTTTTCTCGTGATAACCTCATAATATTAAATAAAATGTTACTAAACATAAACCGTAAACCACTTTATAATTTTGTGAGACAAATTTTTTAGCAGTGGAAATTTCTCTAGTCCCTATGAGTTCAGTCTTCACAAATGCCATGGAATCTTGGAATTGCAAACATTTCTATCATAAAAATTAAACAGTTTACATTATTATGTTGTACAAGTTCATATTGAAACAATGGTGTTATTTTTTGATGGAGATGTTCGCTTTTATCCTCCCATTCTCACTGTATTTTACACTCTCAAAAAGTTTCCATGTCTAATTTATTCCAGAGCGAAACTGGAACATGTGGATTCCAGGTTTCGGATCGGAAGATGTACGGCCATACAAGAAATCCACAA